GCCGCCCTGGCCGCCTCTGCGCCGCCGGACTCCCCACGTCCGCCCAGACGCCTGGGCTCAGATCTACAGTGCCACGGCCATCCCCGCCGCCCGCCCGCGCGAAGTTCTAGACGCAGAAGGTCCGAGCCCGGGCGCAGCAGGCGTCTGCTGGGCACTGGGCTGCGGCAGCTGTTTCCACCCCCGCGCCGGCCCCGCGCAGGCTGGGGAGGGGCGTGGCTCGTCCTCACGCCAAACCCGGGTGGACTTGCGTTTCCCGCCGGCTGCAGGTCTGCGGCCCAGAGGCTGGCGGCTGAGCCTCGCCTCGCGGTCTCTTCTTTGATCGTCGCTTCTCAAGCCGCCGACGGGAACAGCGGAAGAGGGGTGTCAGTCGGCCAGCTTTGGGGGGGCCTCCCCAGACGGGTCCGCGGCAGTCACGGGCCGGGCTCTCCGATGGAGGGACCGGCCGAAGCAGCGTCCACCGGCGGCCACCTCCCGCCTGGCCTCACGATCTGCGGCATCCGGGTCGCCGCCGCCGGGCTGGAGGGGGAGACCAGACAGGGAGTGGGAATGAGAAAGCAGAGGAAGTTGGGAGCATCTCCCCCGAGCAGCTACCCTTGCCTTGCCGGGACCAGACAGCCTGCCCTTGGCCTCCGGTTCTGCGCGGGGGCGTTTTCCGCCCCCACGTGTCCACTCCGCCCGCGCGCATCCCCCGCCAGCCCTGCTCCTGGAGCGGCAGCTATGGGTCGGGGGCAGGAGGCGAGATTGTGACCCCCAAGTTCCATCGCCTCTGCCTAGGCTGCGCTACCTCGGTGCGCTCCGGAGATTTGGTGCCCACAAAACTGGGCACGGAGTACTTCCTCAGTGTTCAAGCTGACCAGCGGAGAGGCTCCTCAGGAAACCACGGGGGCCGCCTCCAGTGAACCCCATCTTTCGGGGGTGTGGACGCGCGCAGCCGCGCTTGAGTCTCACCTCCCGGCTAGAGCCCTCTCATGCAGCCCAGTCAGGACTGTCCTCTAGGGTCCCCTACTCACCCTGCCCCACGGCGCCGGGAACAGAGAGGCCTGCGCGCTCGACCCTGCAACAGGTGCAAACGGCGGCTGCCAGCGGCGGGGACTCCACCCGGTCCCCCGCCTCCCAGACGCAAGGGGCCGTCCCCGCACCTAGCATCCGCCTGCAGTTGCCTGGTGGTCTGCGGATCATCCCGGGGTTTAGTAATACAGAGCCCGTGCTGAAGAGGCAGGTGCCAAGCCGATGGGTGTAGGCTTCTCCTGGGCCAGAAGAGGGCGCGCCGTGCCCTTCAGACACCTCTCCGCCTCCTGGGTACCTAGTCACTCAGTGCCCCTCGAACCACCAGCTCTGAGTGGGAGTGCATACTTACGGAAGGATGTGTGGGCATCTTTGAACTAAGAATTTACTCGCCTCCGGAGAGAACGATCCCAAGTTCAGAGCTCACCCACTACCTGTACTCGCCAGGAGCAGAGGAGAGACACACGGTTCTGTGGACCAGATATTCTCACCACCAGAACCCCCGGTGCCGCTAACACTGCTCTCACCTGGGCCACCCACTCC